CCCCATGGGGGATTGTCTTGCACAAGGGGGTCCGATACGGCGGGGGCATTGGATAAGGAAGCATTGGATGAGGAATCCGGAGTCTGGAAGCCGGTGGAACTCCAATCGTGGATTGGCCATGGATATCACCGCCGCTCTGATCAGATAAGGAACCCTCCAGGGTCTGAAGCCTCCTGGGCACACTCCTTCACCAACGCCCCCACCGGATTTCCTTACACAGATCTCCCGCCCGGACGGTCCTGACAACACCTCTTCCGAGGCACTTCAACATCTCCAGGCCAGATGGCACATCGCCTTCGCAATCGCTCTGCCCATGCCTTGCTTCTAGGTCTCACCACGTCCGAATGGCCCAAAACCTCTTGGAAAGGCCCAGCAAAAATTCGGGAGAACCCCCTGAGACCCTTGGACAGCCTCTGGGGTTCCTTGGAGAGCCCCCAGAACCTCTCAGAAAAGCTTCAGAACCCTTGGAGGAGATAGGAGGGCCTCTGGGAGACGTTTTCAACCTGAACTGAAGGATTTCGGAGCATTTTGAAGATGGCCTCAGGGCATTTCCGGAAAAGGCTTGGATCGGAGCTCGGGGAAAGAAGAAGAGGGAGCAGGAGGAGGTGGTGGTGGTGGTGGAACGATCTCGGGCCGTATGTCTGAGCGACCACACTTCAACATTCGCCAGGATCTTCTGTTGTGTGCGACCTATCGTGCGCAATCAGATGCGAATGAACGACGGCCCCCCCCGAGACAGGCGGGAGCCCAAAATTGACTTCGCTCGACCGCGACTCGCAGTGAAGAGACAGAGCGATTTGACGACGGCCCCAGGAACCAGGCCCCGGGGCAAAAAATGGCAGCACGCAAAGCTAAAAACGCGTGGCATGGGCCACGAAACCTTAGGAGCAGGAGAAAGGAGGAGGAGGAGGGAGGAGGAGGAGAAGGAGGAAGAAGAGGAGAAAGAGGAGGACGACGACGACGACGGGGTCGCCGCCGCGGGCTCTCGGGCCGCCCCTGGCACGCAGAGCGCACCAGGGAGGCGCTGGTGCAGACCTCCGACAGTGCATGCTGAATTCTTGAGGATCGGTACTACAGACTGCAGACGGCTAGGTAACTTGGTACAATGTTCAAGATCGGCCGATGAGGCCAAGAGGAACAGCGTCGTCGGCAGCTTTCGAGCAAGGCGCGCAACCTCGGCCCCAGGAGAAAAAGCGGAGGGCCCCCCCAGGACACTGCAAGCGGTGAATGGCCAAGGTTCTGAACCATTGCACGGGCATCCGGGCCTGGGGATCCGAGCGGGAATCCGCTGGGGATCCACTGGGGATCCAATCGGATTTTACCGGATCCGTACTTCTGGACTGCTGAAAAACTATTGCGTCTGGAGGGGATCCAATCCGACCGCCCCATCCCTACGGGGACGACCAGGGGATGGGGCCTTCTAGAGATTTGCCCAGCGCTGGGGGGGGGGCTTCTAGAAATGTAGTAAGCTCTGATCCAGCACGGAGCACAAGCGGGGCCGCGACACACCGAGCTAGAATATATAGATATATATATATATATATATATATATGTATATAGTATTATAATTATAATATATACATCCATGCTGTAACAATTAACATAAATAAAATAGAAAAATAAAACAATAAAAAAACAAACAACAAAAAAAAAAAAAAAAAAAAAAAAAAAAAAAAAAAAAAAAAAAAAAACAAAAAAAAAAAAAAAAAACGCGTCGCCGCTCTCCCCTCTCCGATGCGGCAGCAGCCACGGGCGATGACCCCGAGCGCGGGGGGCGCTCGGGGCCCAGCGGCCCTCTTATAGTACTAATGAAAGGTACCCCCCCCCCAATCCGAGGCGGGGCGGCGCGGATGGGCCGTGGGCCACCTTTAATTAGTATTAAGTCGGGCGTGTTCTCCTACAGGGAGATTTTCGACGAATATAAGAAATACCCGAAAATGTTCCTAAAAATGCTAAAAAATTGTCAAAAATAGTCCCCAGGCTATTTTCTGACTATTTTTGAATGTTCCCCCTGTAGAGGGACAGGCCCGACTTAAAATTAGTATTATGATAGGAGGGTGCCCGGCGAGCTCGCCCTCGTGGATCCCCGTCCTTTTATGGGGTCGTGCGTCCGAGGGCAGTGTGTTTCCAGATTGGTTCCACGATGGTTCCGAAGTTGCGAAGTTCACGAAACCACACGAGTTCACATGTTTCCCGATTGGTTCCAGTCTGGTTCCAAGATGGCTGCGAGGTTGCCCGTCCACGAGACCCTGTGAGCTCACATGGTCCTGCGACGTTGCACAGGTCGCGAGTTCCAGTTTGATTCACATGGCTCCTGTTGGGTTCTAGCCTGGTTCCACGAACGTGCGAGAGGAGACATGCGTACTCAGGCCCACTCAATTCGTACCAACATTACCTAATTGTCTGTAGGGAAGCCCCACGACCTCTGGGAGTCGAGGGGGGGCGTCGTTGTTTGCAGAGGGGGTCGTTTGCGGCGCCGAGGCGGGAGCGCCGGTCCCGAATTCGCCGGCCCAACGGGCCAAGGGCGTGCAAAGTGTTGCTCGCGAGCGCGGGGGCGACCCTGGGGGTCCCTGGACGAGAAGCACCCCGGCAAGGTCCAGGGGCAGGTCCCGGCAAGGTCCCGGGCAGGTCCCAGCAGGCTCCCAAGAGCGCTCCAGGAGCGCTTCAAGTGGCCTCCAGGAGAGCTCAACATGGTCCGAAGCGGTCCAAGAGCGATCCCAGACGCCAGAGATGGCCTCCAGCCAGCCCAAAGCGCCTTCAAGACGCCCAAGGAGGCCTCCAAGAGACCTCCCAAGAGGGCCCACACAGGCAGAAATTAGTGATTCCTTCAGTTTTTCCCCATATCCTAAGGATTGGGGTTCTTGTTATTACTCTGACGCCTCCCACTCCTCCTCCTCCTTCTTCCTCCCGCTCGCGCCTCCCTCCTCCCAATGATAATCACCAGATAAGACAAGACAAGATAAGATACTACAAGATAAGATACGATAGCACAATATATGATAAGAAGAGATTTCAAGATAACATAAGATAAGTTAAGCTCACACTCACACTCTCTCATGATCACAAAACGCTGCCAGGGGCATCATTTGGGAGCCCCAAGGGGGAGCCACCCTGGCTGGTCTCACGAGCCCGTTCGCGCCGATTTTGGTGGGACGTCTCAGCTAGAATTGCCGTTTGGCGCCCCGAACATGTATCTCTTGAGGGGCTCATGGTCACAAAACGCTGCCAGGGGCATCACTTGGGAGCCCTAAGGGAGAGCCACCCTGGCTGTTCTCACGAGCCCGTTCGCGCCGATTTTGGTGGGACATCTCAGCTAGAATTGCCGTTTGGCGCCCCGAACATGTATCTCTTGAGAGCCTCATGTCGCAAAACGCTGCCAGGGGCTTATCATTTGGAGCCCCAAGGGGAGCCACCCTGGCTGATTTTCCGATTTTGGTG